AAAGTGTGTCCGACTCGGCTCGGCTCGGCTTGGCTTGGCTTGGCTTGTTTATAACGACGGAGAGTACAGAAGCGGGAGATAAACCACCTTCTCGCTGACCGGCATGAGAAGGTTTGGAGACAGACAATTAATGGCTCCATGCTCCACCTCAAATGGATGGCCGAACAGGAGGGACAAGTGAGTGTCCGAAAGAGACGTCGTCCAGTTTTACCCTTTGCGATGCCTTTGTGCGCCTGCCCTCGGACCTGCCAACTCACAACCTTGTTGGTGTGTCTCGGGTGTGCATTGCGTCGGGGTGGGATGGTAGTTTTGTCCGGCCGAGAGGAGTTAAGATCGCCTGTCCAGGATCGGGCGACTGCAGTTGGGAGGGCAAAAAGCGCTGATGCAAAAGTGCCCTTAGTGAGTCAGTGAATGTACATTGAGACGAAAGGAAGCAGCGGCGCACGGATTGACCGGCAGGGACAATTGAAGCGAACGGAGGGTCTATTCTAGACAGGCCTAGAATGGCCGAAAATGATGAGATGGGGCCAAATCGCCACTGTGACGCGTTTTGTTTAGGTCCAGCTCGAAGCTGAGATATTGTTTTGCAATTATTTTTTGTTTCAAACCTATCCGGAGACTGATTCTTGCGGAGAGATATACCAGTCTCAACGGATTCTCCGTTAGGCTGATAGCGAGCCCAAGTATACAATTCCACTTCGACTTCTATCCCAAAGGGTTGTTGTCACCCGACCAACAGCTTCCCGGTGGGATTCGGACCGTGAGCACACAATCCTGGCCCGAGGGTTGCTCACTCAAGAGCTCAATGGGATATCGAGACCATTGAAAGATACACGTTTGCCTATAGAATCGACATTTCCCACAATATTATGTGAACTTAGCCAGGCGGATTATGTGAGCTGCCCTGAGCTCCTCCTCCCATGCTAGAATTCAGTCAGACTCACTTGGATTCATCAAGCAATCTGCAGATTTGATGGTCTACAGACGGACAAGCACCTCCAAAAACACATGCTGATACTGGCCGTCAGCGATACTTTTTTTGAGGGGCTATCCACAAGTTTCACAAGTCATTAAGTTCACTTTCTCTTGAGTGACTCGATATCCTGGAAACGGTCATGTTGATAAGAGTGACCCAAAGTACCTCATTCACTCTCTCATTATTGATAGGCGAACTCTCAAATGCCTCGATCAAGGTAAAACGTAGTCGATTTGCATCCGAAACCCAAAGTGAATCTCGTTTCAACGAATTGCTGGAGTAGTAATGTTGATTTTTGCTTGCGGGAAGTGATGGTGAATTAAAATCGTGGCTCAACATGTGGGGGGTACTTCGATTATGAACTCAACTCGGTTTGTTCAGGAACTTTGCAAGGATTGGGCTCAAATACAAACAAGATCAAATCGAATAGCAAATAGTCAATCACCTCATAGAAATATTCTCGTCATAAATATGAGCCGAGAGAGTTGTCCTGAGGGTCACTCCACCCCCGAAGCATGAAGACACTATATTTGGGTTTACCTGATGCTAACACAGGTTCGAGGTCTCTTTGGGTACCAAATAAGACCAAGCAAATTCTAAATTTTGACGAAATTTTAAGCGAATTTGATTATTGGACTAAAAACTTTTTATTTAAACTCTCAACTATCAATCTCTGGAATTCCAGTCAACTAATGATAGACTTTTGTTCCTTTACTGCCTCTTAGACTGGACATTGGGACATCAACATTCGAAAAGTTTTTTGCCAACTGTTGCTTCATTAAGATAACAGGACAAAAAAGATTATTTTTCCATCTGCTAACCTCATATAGTGGCTATAAAGTGGATACCAATATTTTGTAAATGGTATTGCTAGGAACGGGATTTCGAAGACTCCTTGAATAAGTTGATGTTGGCATACCTTTCATTTTTATGAAGAGGTGAGTGAAAAGAATTCGTAAGTTGGAAGATATGGTGAAAAATTGGGTTTCGAAGGATTCTATAATTATTTATTGTGACAGCTATCCGTTTGGAAGGAATTCGTGAAACCGAGATAGCAAAATAAATGTATTAAACTGGCCAAATTTTCTTTTGATAAAATATGTTCTAGAGATACAAACGAAAGTTTAGCACCGATTTATCGGAGTCGCAGGACGGTGAGCCGAGGATTTCTTTGCACAAATTAGCAGTATTTACTCTTCAGTAATCTTCTTTAGATACTTAGTGATGCTATTTCACGAATTGCTTCCAGCCAAATTTTCCTTTTAAACGGAAATTTGTCACGATAAATCCCTAGGAAATTCTTCAAAGCCCAGTTTTTCCTATTATCGTCCAACTTGCGAATCCCTTCCACTCGCCTCTTTAGACGAAAGTAAAGGCTTGCCAACATCAAGTTTCAAATGGTGCCTTTGCTCGGAAGTAAAAAATCAGGAGAATCTTGGCCAAGACCCCTAAAGATTTTTCATATATTCTACTTGCCTTAG